TTCACTGGGCTTGAGGACTGCTCTGGTTATTCTATTACAAACCTCACGTAGAGTAGATCTTATACATCCAATATGTCACCTGCATCTTGTTCTGAGTGGCTTGTGTCTATACAACAGCAAATAAATGTTTGGAGAAGGAATAATTCTGGCATGAGGGTGTGGGCTTCAGTTTGTGGACCAGATGGTGTGTTCTGGCCATATGTAATTGATACATAAAGTGACAGACTGAAGCAAAAGCAAAGTAAGTATTTAAAGACAATCAGTTTAAAAAAAAGAGGGTAGAATGTGACCTCATAAGGGTGCTAATATTTTTGGCTACTGGCTTTTGGAAGAGCTAGGAGCATTGGTGAGTAGACTGGATGTCAAAAAAGAGCATGTCAAAGGAGAGTAATGGGGTCATTGGCACAGATTATTTTTAAAGATGAAGTTGTCTTCTGTCAGTTGGGAAGGCTTAGGTTGGGAGTGGGTTGGCCTTTCTTCCCTTCACTTCTCCACCCAAATCCCAAGGGTCAATTCCCACATCAAAACAGTTAGGATCTTGTGTAGGTTTTGAAAATGTTTCCCTTGTACCTTTTAGAAAGTAAGAGAATATACAGGCATTCAGTGGCAATATTACATGTTTCAATAGAACAAATAGTCTCCACCCCTTTTTAGGCTTTAAGACTTGCTGTGGTAGGTAGGTATGCACAGGTGTGCTCACATATGTGTGAATGCATGTGGTTTCATAGAGCATAACAAATGGAGATCATAGGTGAGCATGTGCCATCAGGGGAATCTCTGTGGCTTTAATGAAGAGCTGGTGTTTTGACATACAGCTAGGTTTCTTGAGAGAGCCAGTGAGATAGCTACCTGAAATAACCTCTGTCTAGAGAAGTGAAGAAAACCCAGTGATTATTTGAGAGGGTTAGAGAAGCCATTTTATTTTATGGAATGCTGTCTGGAAGAAGGCTAGGCTGTGCCTGGCTTTCTTGGAAATAGCAAAAACATTTTCCTCTTTGGAAGAGTATGACAACACGAAAAGAGTTAGTCTGTATGACACAAATGAAGTGGAACGTGGGTAAAAATGGAATCAGTGTAGACTGCCAATTTAGCTGTCTTGGGCCTTTTAAAATCTAAATTATGCAGATCAGCCAAACATTCCCCTCACTCTGTGCTGTTTAGACACGTGTACAGTTAAGTGAAAGCTGTAAAGATGTAGTCATCAGGGGGTGAAGAGGGTCTCACAGTTCCGTAGCACAAATGGCTTCTCTAACCCTCACACAGGGGAAGCACAGAAGGGCTCAGAGGTGACCTCCTATAGCAGGAAATGGGAGCTTCATCCTGATCCCCTGCCAACCTCCTGTCCTCATTTCCTCCCAGCAGATATCTCCATTCCAATCTCCCCTACCACTTTGACTCTCTTGTAGTCACGGGTCACCTGTTCTGAGAAACCTGCACTAACTGGGCTTGAACAGAGGGATCCTGGCCCAGTCATTAACTGGACTGCACATAAAAAAGAGCAAAATAAAACAATTTTTAAAGAACAAACAACAACACAATAACAAAGAGACATGTTTGGGTTTCATTAGGAGGTTTTATACATATGCATACACACAGACACACACACACACACGATTGTGTTCTCTTTGTTGTCTCAGCCAGAGTGTACACAAGATAATTACTTGGCCAAATCAATGAAATCATTCAAACCTAGAGTGGCCCATAGTTGCTAGTTCTAAATGATTGCTCAGCACGAAGCATGATAAGGAAGGGTGAAGGAATAGACTGCATTAGTGCTTCAATTCTCCACTTCCCTTTGCATATGTTCATTATTGAAAATCAATTCCAGTTTGAGAGGAGGCTTTAATTCCTTGTAAATGAAGAGGAAGTGAGTAAGTAAATGTTCAGGGTTTTCCTCAAATTATGTCTCATAATGAAAGAAAACAGTGGCAAAAAGCCATCAGCAGATGGTGTTTTCATTAGCCAAAGATTTATTTTTCAAAGCATTTTCATATTAATGAAGTAAGGTTGAAATTAGAGTCATCTTGTCAGTTCTAGTTCTATGTTGCTAAAATGTACTGGCATTCTGTAAATTGCTAGGGGACCAGGGCAAAACAACCATTTTCCATAATTTTGTGATGGTAACCCAAGGTCCATGGTCTCACCAGACCCCAAATTATGTGTTCAGCCCTAATTTTTGTTTTCAGTGGCTTTACAGAAGCTGTGAGTCTCAGTTCTGGGCCATAAACACGGAACACACAGCAGAGATCTTAGTCCTGCTCTGTACTATGAATTATTCATAAGATATCACTTTCATGACAAGTGTTACAACAGGTTGCATGTACTTGTTAGAAGAACTTCTCCCCATGGAATCCCCCCCTTTTTAATGGAAACACAATACAGTTTAAAACACAGATATTTCTAATATTTCTAAAATTTCCAATATTGTATCTGCTCTGAGTTCATCTATCTACATTATGTTTGCATAATATGTCAGTATAGTAATTTGTGATACATGGGATTTCTTCTGATCTAGGAGCCTAGACTACTCTGCTAGTTGAAGTGACAAACTGAGTGGGTCCATTACAAGTGCCCACTATTTAACTTAAGCTGGACCCTTTCATCAAATCTATCATATTCACCTTATGGCCACATTTTTGAAGAGGAGTTCAGACTGTAACCTCCACATTTTTACTACTGATGTGCTCCTTAACTCTGTACAGTTTGGCATTTACTTCCAAAACTCTGATGGAACTCTTTTTTCAAAGGTCAGTAGTAACTTTTAATCACCAAATCTGGCTGTCTTTTATCAGTCTTCATATTTCTTGTACTCTCTGTGTATTTGAGAGTGATGAATACTTTCTTGAAATGTGTTTCTCTCCATTATCCACTTAGGATGGCCCAGACCTGCATTAGAAACTGCCTTGAGTATTGTAGCCTCCTCCTAACCCGTGTCCCTGCCCCCAGGCTCTCCTGTTTCAGTGTGCCCCACATATTGCTGGCAGGTTGACTTCATAAATGCAGACCTGATTATATCATTATCTGGCTTAAAAGCCTTTGGTAGGCCCCTACTCCTTAAAAAAAGTAACTACAAACTCCTCACCTAGGCATTCAAGAACTTCATCACAGGGCCTCAATCTCCATTTCCAACCTTGTCTCCTCTACTCTCTTATAGCCTATGTTCTAGCCAAAGTCAGCTTTTATTTCCTGAACATTCCCTTTTACTTTTCATCATGCTTTTCCTTGTGCCTGGAACACCCTGCCCCACTCCATCTCTGCCTATTAAACTCCTACTTATCTTTTCAAGACCCATCTTAATTTCACCTCTTTATCACTGAAGTCACTGCACCTTGAACAGAGTAGGTCCTCAGTACCTTTGTTGTTTTAAATCACTGAACTCCCATTTCTTTTTTTCCTCTGCATCTACTCAGCTTAGAGGTTATGGCCAAACCAATGATTGTTGCCTTTCTTTTTTCCTTTTCCCTCTCTTTGTTCTTGCTAAGGAGAAGGCTGCAGATTGAGATGGTCATGGAGTTAAAGATGGCCAGGGGAGGCACTACCCAAGCCAAGGAAAATGGAATAAATGGTGAAAAATCATTTCCATATAATTAAAGCCAAAGAAACCATGAGATACCTGGCAAGAAGGGAAGCAAAGATTAAGCTGGTTCTTATAATCCAGTCTGAGAATAAGTGAGATCAGACTGCCCATTCTAGAAATTCATATGTCCATGGGAATGTGTCATCTGGGGTGGATTCATCAGATAGTGCCAGGGATACTAAGGAGCCACAGCTACTTAATAGGCAAGAAAGGGACCACGTCCACAAGTCTTTTCCCATTCTCCCCTCTTCCCCTCTCTCCTCCTCTCTCCCTCTCATCACCCTCAGCTAAAAGCATGACCTTTGAGCAACTACAAATCACAGGAACTGTAGAGATAGCAATGAAGCAATGAACATGACCAAGGAAAGGAATGTCTGCAGAATAAGGGAAGGGAGTTGGGGTATTACATTTGGAATAGATTTGAGCTGAAGACTTGGAAATGGGGAGGAATAAAAAAGCCCATTATCAAAATAACATTCTGTTTTTTTCACTTAAGGAATAAAAGAGAGTAGCTTGCTGAAAATATGCTAAGAGTTCTAAGTAGTATTGTAATCATGTTATATTAAACAGATTTGCAAAGCTCTTCTAATGTATACCCCAAAGAATCTATGTAGCAGTAAGGAATGGTAAGCAGTAGGTGTTCTATCTTGATGTAGTCAGGCTTTGTGTTATGAAGTCTGGCATTTCCATGGGCTGTTCCTTAGTGTCAGAGAAGGAAACTATGAGGTACAATGCTAGATTTTGATAAATCCCACATTTAAAATGCCATCTTTCTTTTTCTGAAGAAACCTACTGATAAATATAAAATGTTATCAAAAAAGGATAAAAGAAATCATGCAAAACTAGGGCAAAGCACTGACTGAAGGCTAGAGATTTGGGTTCCAAGCTCTAGCTTTGCCACATACTAGTATATGACTGTGCAAAACACTTTACCCCCACTGTGAAGCTCAGTTCTCATCTGTAAAATGCTGACATCTCCTACTTCATGGATTGTTATGATTATTCAGTGATATATATGAAATTGTCTAGCATAGTGTCTGGCAAGTGGTAATCATTCAATAGTACCTGTACTTCCTATGTCACAGGATTACTATAAAGGCAAAATGAGATACTGACTATGGCACACTTTTAAAAAGGTAAAATATTACAGAAAAGATAAAGTTGCTTTAATGTCATTGAATTCCTACATCCACAAAGTCATGAATGTCATCTTTTCCCAGTATGACAGTCTGGAGCAAACATACAACATTATTAAGTAGCACCTAGAACAGTGTGTGGTCCAAAGCAAGTGCTCAATGCATCCTTGAACTGTTTGTTGACTGACTGATCTCCACATGATAATGTTTCTCAAGCTCATTGAACATTTCTTCTTTTTTCCCCTCTTCCCTGTTTCCCTCTGGTTTCATACTTTCTGCGATGCCAGCAAACTTTGGAGATGAACCTCACCAACCTGGTTAAGCGCAACAGTGAACTAGAAAACCAAATGGCCAAACTAATACAGATCTGCCAGCAAGTTGAGGTATGTAACAGAAACATATGTGATTCTTTCAGAGGACTTGGATTGGGTAATTCTTTGAGGGGACAAAACTTTGACTTTTGTCAGAGTCTAGCTCAGCCATTTGGAGGGATGGGCTGAATGATACTTCTAGGAAGTCTCCTTCCTTTAGGATACTTGTTCCAAGAAAAATGGCCGTTAGCTATTGTTTAAAAAAAACAGGCAGTGGTGATGGGTTGGGGAGACAACTGTCCAAGGGACAATCCCTTCTTTCCAAACAGCAGGCAGTATGAGAATCCGACATGAAGTATGTTTCTTCCTTCATCAAACTGGACATCATAGTGCCTTGAAGAGATTGCTGGGATGTCACAGGGAAGTAGAGGATCCTGGGTCCTTGGAGTAGGATGAGGTTCATTCCATGCAATATTGTTTCTGTAACAGTATTATCAGAATAGTTTCTCCTCTTCCCTCCTTCTCCTCCCTTTGTCCCCATACACTTTCCCTGGTCCTCACTCAACTTTCTGCTTTTTCTTGTCATCAACAAATGATACATATGCTAAGCTTGTCTGTGAATTATAAAGTGTTATACAAATGTAAGGTTTTCAAAAATTGTTACTAATATTGAATCTCAGAGCAGAGCTTACAAGAGTAGTTGACCTCAATATAAATGGATGTGATAAAAGAAAGATGTTATTTCTCTTCTGAAGAGCATGAAACTTCAGCTGCAGTGTTTGATTTTATGTCGATTTTGTAGAAGAGGCAATGGTAGGGCTTAAAGAGTGAACAAGATAGGGTAAAGTATTAAAGGACTCCTCATGGGCAGTGGTTGGGCAAAAATGTTTCGAATCTATTTATAACTTGATTGTCTAGTTGTCATCTAACTTGTATGGTAGATAAAGGATAAATGTAATGATTCAAGTTTATTTTATTTTAAGCAGTAAAATAATTTTATTAAGATCTCATCTCTTTATCCCACTTGGGGATTCCTATTTAAGAGTGTGGAAAATCTTCTTGTTAGGCCAAGAATCTTCTTATATGAATAACACTCCTGATTGTTTGGATTTCTTAAAATATTGCATTTTGCAAAGTAGTATGCTTGCATGATGAGTACACCATAGCAATTTAATCCTGGCTGGGCACTCCATTTTGTGGATAATGGTGCTATATGGTGAGCACATAGGATACCAGTTCATCTCATCTGAGAGATTATAGAATGGGGTGGGGAATTTAGGCAGAAGCAGAAGGAATGGAAAGAAAGAATACTGGAACGTAAGTTGAAAAATTAGTTCTAGAGTTGACCCTTCCATTAACTAGTAGTATGAACTTGAGTCTAAGTTATTTAGTTTCTCAGCTTCAGCATCCTTACCTATAAAATGAGGGGTTGACCTGACTTATATGGCCTTTAGTGTGACTTCCAGATTTCATAGGTCACAATCTGTGAATGGTTACATTCTTTATTCTCCTTTCTTTTTGGTCTTGTCCTTTCCAAGATGGGGAAACAAAACAAAAGGCATTTTAGAGTGTGGTTTTCAGCTAATCAGAATCCCTCTATGTTCCATTCTATCAAAGCTTCTGATTATGCTGTTAGATTACAGTATAAAAAATCCACACTGGTGAGAAGACAAGGAAGTATTGTAAGCAGGAGACAAGATAAAGAATCCCTTGGCTTAGAATTTGCATGATTAAGGGTGGGGTAACAGCTAAGAGTGAATAAAATGTGGCTAGAAGTTAAAATCATCATCTTGCTCATTTTCATCAAAAAGGCTATTAAGTATAGGGGAAGTTGTAGTCAAATTGCTAAGATATGCAATTTATTTTCTTTAAAATTTTTTTTTAATTTTATTAAAGTACCACTGATATACAATCTTATGTTGGTTTCAAATATATAACACAGTGGTTCAACAGTTACTCATATTATTAAATCCTCACCCCTTCTAGTGCCGTCACTATCTATCAACGTGTAAGATATTACAGAATCATTAACTGTATTCTCCGTGCTGTAGTACCAGCAGTATATTTTCATTGCTTATTCACTTTAGGACCTCTCTAACTTATCATCCCACCCCTGGGAAGCTTATCACTCTGGCCAGCCTCACCCAAACAGAGCCCTGTTCCAACCTTTCACAGCCCATTGCACTAATGAAACCTTTGTATTCATGGCCCTACTCTTTTTGAGCTGCAAGGAGCTAGTCTCATAAAACAATGCCTCATTGTGTTAATAGAGGAAGACTCATTATGGCTTTTGAGGTAACAGGCAATGTTTTAAAAGTGCCTTTCTGAAGTTAATATTCCTGTTTGAGCCTTCATGAGGTGACACTAATGCCATCAAATGTCAGCAAAGTAGGAGGAAGAGCAGCCCCATGACAAACCAGCAAAGGAGGTGTTTAAAAGGCCCCCTTAGGGATACTTGTTAAATCCATGTGTAGGCCACTGTCTGCTCTGGCACACAAAAGATCACCTTTTACTAAGAGTTATGTATGCATGGCTTTGTACCATGTACAAAGAAAATAGCGCAGTCACAGTATTTACCTTTGGAGGACTTACATACTATACGATCCACCCTGATATGTATACACATGTACAGGAAGTAAAGACAGTGGCATAAAAAATGTTAATTGAGAATTGGGAAAGAATTTTAGCCACTGCATTACATGTCAAGGGTGAGAATATATTTTGGGAGTTAACTCCGTAGTCTATTCCGCTTAACAGTTTATTTTCGACAAGGGCCCTACGGGATGGTTTATGGAAGCCCATGGCTGTGCACTATGACATCATCCTTTGTGAAAGGTTAGGGATGTGCCCTAAACTTCCCCATAATAATAGGGTGAATCCGGGGTACTTATTATACTCATTCAGCACACAGCCTGTTGGTCCAGAAGGCTTCAGGACAAGCCCTAGGATTAGAAAGGCAGTTAAAGAAGGGACTTGAGACTTCAGAAATACTTACACATACTTTATAAAATGAAATAAACAGGAGGATACTGTCCATCATGAGAGCGACACATGGAAGAATGATTTGAAATTTTTTCATTTTATCTAATCCAGATACGTCTGTAGGGAATGACTATTTCCAGTGTAAAACAGGCATTTTGCATTGGGCGGGGCTGGAGGATACCAGCTGAGGCACTTCTGAGAGAACTGGAATAGGCTATTTTCCTGCCAAACCTGTTCCCCTTCCTCATTGTCTGCAAATGTTTTTGTCACAGATTGACTTTTCATAAATGGGCCATAAATACTGCCTCCCTCTTCTGGTTCTTTCTCCCTGTTCTTTATTCTCCTCAGAAAGTAAACAAAGCTGCAGTCTTCCTATTATTGCAGAAACAGAGATTAGGATCACCACAGATTTGTTAGCTGAATTCTTTGGTAATGCAGCCTATTACAGTTGTTGCCCAGCTTTCCGAATTCACTGGATAGTCAGTTGGAAAACATTTTCGGTCTGGGCTGGAGAGCCTGGGAAGGAGGTAGAGGCAGACCGAAGACTCCTTTAATCTGGTTCAGGAAGGGCATGCTTTGACCTTGCTGCTCTGGCCACTTGATCTCTATATATAGTTCTTTGTCCTGTCTCATCAGGCATCCTTTGTTTACATTTCCAAAGGAAATCTCTGTTTAATGCATAGCCAAGAGAAAATGTATACCAATAGATGAATATTTCCTCTTGGCTTCCAAGACTGCATGGTTTTGTGAATATAAGCATTCCTGAAAATACTGAGGGGAAGAAAAATAGTAATCAGTGAGTAAACAACATTTCTTGAGCAAACACTATGTACTCAGTGTGGTGCACCATTTGGGGGCAACAAAAGAAACATGTTGTTGATGGCGTCCGGGAACTTTTAGTCTAGCTAGTGAAAACACGGTATCTAGTGAGAACCTGGGTTATTCTTATACAGCAGCGTGCAGTTCAGAGTACCAATGAAGGCAGGATAGCTTTTCTTCCATTCTTACTATTTAATCTTGTTAGTTTTTAGGGTAGTGAAAGCACTTCCCTGGATATTGTGTGTGCCACCTGTTCTCCTCCCTGCCAGAACTGCTGCAGCACAGTGGGTTCGTGCATCCCAGAGGCTCTGTGGGCAGACTGATTTCTTTCTGGTCGTCTCTCAAGCCTTGTAAGGAGCTGGGTGGCCCTGTTCTTTAGCATCAGAGAAACAAGAAAGAAAGGAGATGAGTTGGAAGAGAGGGAGAGGCTTCCCGCAGTTTAGGGAATTTGAGCTTTCTGTCTTGCCACCAGGTCTTCAATAGCTTTCTGGAGTTTTCCTCTAGGCAGTTCAAACTGTAGGTGGCTTGGTGTTCTCCCCTTCTGCTCCTGTGGAAGAGTGGTTTGGGAAGGGCAAGAGTCAATGTCTGACTGCTTCTACAACCATAAAAATAGGTATTTTAACAGAAATTAATTTTAAAAAGCACTGCCATGGAAGATTTTAGCAGCTCATCCTTCAGTGTTTTAGAGTGGTTGAGCTAGAAGGAATAGAATCTAAATCATTAAAGCACAAACGTGCTCATTGGAGGGGTCTTCTACAAGCAATAAGGACATGATAAAATGAAATAGTGATTAAAGTAAGTGTAATCAGTGAAAATTTAATAGAGAAAATGTAATGTAGCCAGACGTTGAAGAGGAAAAATAAATTACTGTGACAGTTGAGACAGAGGGCAGAGGTTTTCGTGGAGGTGGAAATGAGCAAAATGTGTGGGCAAAAGGGTATGCTGTGCTATGTACTGGGTGTACACTGGGTGTATAGAGATAAATGGGAAATGGTCCCTGCCCTCAAGGAGCTTACCTAACAGATAAAATGTCAAATCTAATGTCAAGTGATAATTGTAATGAAGGTTAAGTGCATGATGACAGGCTAGCAAGAGATAGAAATAACTATCTACTTGAGAGACTTAGGAAAGACTGCAGAATATAATTAAAAATGGAGTTATCTTGAAATAAGAGTAGACTTTTGCTAACAAAAATGAGATAAGGGAGTGAGGGGACCACATGGAAGAACACAGGAGGATAAATAGCATAGACATGTCCAGGGAACCACTAG